GTGTGTGTGTGTGTGTGTGTGTGTGTGTGTGAAAAAGAGAGAGAATAGGAAAAGGTCAAACCCAGTGAGAAGAAAGAGAGACAGCAGCTGCAGCTCAGAGTGGGTTATTAATCGGGAATTCAATAAACACATACCAGATTCCTGAGAAACTCTGCACTCTTGCAGATGCTCCTGTCAATACCTGCGTCATGACCAATCAGAAGTCCTGCAGAATAATACAGTAGAGACACTGGACACAGCTAAGCCAACAGCATTATATGAAAGAACCACAGACCTGGTTCTAATATTGTTTTGAAGTAAAATAATACTTTTGGAAACATATTTAACTAGTCCAGCAACCCTATCAATGATCTGCTATTCCAGTCATTCACAGGAGGACAACTCTTGCTACAGTTCCCTAAAGCCTCGTTCTACATTTTATTTCAAAAGTGTTCTCTCACTGCACTTCATATAATTAGCCATGGGCAGGTTTTATATGTGAAATCATGACAAGCCAGTTCAGTTTCTTACATCAATAGGCAGAGTTATTACAAGAGACTCCACATCCTGTGTCAGATGCAGATTGTGTCAGTTGACCTATGCTGCGTTTGACTTAATTCAAAGATAGGAAGTCTGAACTCAGAATTACATCATTTTCGATACGTGTGTTTGAACCACAAAGTAGGAATAAACAAGGAATAAACAACCATGTTCATCTTTTGTTAGCAACAATCTAGCCAGCTAACTGTGGCAAGTGATGTATATTTACCTCCTCGAAACAGCTGCAGGTCAGTGTTCCAGATGTAACAAGTTAATACGTCTGTATGTCTGTAAAGACATGCTACTTTGTTTACAGCTGATGCTGAGAGTTGATTTGATGTCAGGGGCTGTACTCAAGGTTGAGGAGACCTTTCTGACTTTCTGAGTAGGAGTTCTGAGTGGAGGGGGTGTGTTCTTTGGTTTTTCCTAGTCTGAGGTCAGAAATGAATTTCAGCTGAACGCAGCACTAAATATATTTACTAATTCTCTTAATCCTCTTTTAAGTGAGCCTGTGAAAAGCTGGGACACCTATAAAGTACAGTCGGTCAAATCTTTCAAATATCTAACCCACCTACTTAACCACTAGAGAGCTAATCTTAAAAAAAAATAAAAAAAACTAAGACTAAGCTTACCTAAGTGACCCTAAGTTGTTTAAGATGACCAACGTTTACGATAAGATCAACACTCGGTGTGCAAAGCTTGTTGACATATAGATAACAAAATTAATTGAAATAATATTTTAATAAAACAGAGCACTAAGGTTTTCAAATCACTCAGTAAATATATGACATGTTAATAATGTACTTTCTGTTTACATAATTCTAAACACTTACATTTGGGGATACACACACACACACACACACACACACACACACACACACACACACACAGCAACTCTGACAGTATTTCTGGCTTCAAGGTCTATATGAATGTGTTTCTAACATGTTATTGTGTCTATACACAGGGACGTGTAGTGTGGACGCTCCGTATACATTAATTTACGAAAATGCGTGATATCGTTGATATGGTGAAGTTTTCTGGGAGTAGACATTTATTTAGCATGTTTGGAAGGAGTCGCCAGTATGAGCAGAGGTAAAGTCGTTCCTTTAAGTTTCCAGACATGGGAAAGTCTTTAGGACAAATCGCTTGTGAGGCTGGTGAGGAAATGACTTTTTATAGCTGTTATAACCTAAGTGATCAGTGAACAGGACCTACTTTTTTTTTAAATGACGATCCACAACATTAAAAATAACTAGAAATGGATAAAAAGTATGAAAATATAAATATATATAGATATAAAATAAATCTTATCACTGGCAAATTGACTGGGGCATGGAAAATAATCCACTTCTCAGTGGTAACAGTAACTCGGCTTTGTGCTGGGCCACATCATACCACCTAGTTGTTATTTTCCTATAACTGCACACCCCAGAAGCTTTTGTTCCTTACTGATATGATTGTAGCATGTTGGCTGCAAATTTTGTGTTGACTGAGTTTAGGTACTGTTACACTAAGAGATGCAGATGGTGGCTAAATGTTGAATAATGGTGCGTAGTCTGAATGTCTGATTACTCACAAAACCAGATAAAGCATGAGTTCACTACTGATAGCCTGAGACAGAGCAGTCACAGAAACAAGAGTACCTCAGCCTATCTTCAGTGTATGTGTGTGTGTGTGTGTGTGTGTGAAGGAGCGAATAAAGCAAACTCTGCAGTCTCCACATTCTCGTTCTATACGTTCACCTAACAACATTTAAGCAAAAGGACAAATTCAACATAATCAGCAATGAGGTTTCATTGAGCCGGTGTGATCCTGTATACAAGTGACATCACGTGAAGCCAACAGCAAGCAACAAAGACTGAGTCACTTATACACTCACTTTTGGAAAAAGTCCTGTTCAATGTTAAAATTCATTATTTAAACCCAATTTTATGACCATTGGTAATTTCAGATTTATATATTTATACATTTCAGAAAAAGACAAGTACCTGTGAGGACCACACACATATACTGCCACCTTGTGGATTTATACAAAGTCATTGTAAACACAAAACTGTGACCAGGGCTCCCCCTTTAGATCGCATAAGAACATGAGCCCCAAACTTTAATGATGGTAGGTGAGAGTGTTGGAACAGACTTGCTCTCTTAGTTGTTCAGTAAGTTATAAATCAAAAGATAAAACAAGTGTCAAAGATTCAGGTCAAGCCAACTCTAATGACCTACAGTACAATTATACAACAATGATATTTTATTCTTTTGTTTTACACCACTGTGTATTTCGGTTTAGAAAAGCTCAGATCTTTCTGAGCCCATGAATCATCTCTGGAGGGTGTCTGCAGAGGAAATAAACACAGTATAACTAATGCTGACCTGTAGCCTGCAGGGGGCTGCATAATGACAGGGACACCTTTTTTATTTCCTCTCTCCATCCTGGTCATTCCAGCACTGGTCAGGTTGGAATGATTAAAAAACATTTCTCTTCGGTGCTATACAAGTCCTGTCCGTAACCCAGCATGTGTCCTGCACTATCCTATTACATAAGATAGACAACAGCCAAAGTAAAACAGCAAAATATATCTAAATAGTGCCAGAGTTTTTCAGACACTTTAGCAGCTATCTATATAATGGCATTAAGAACATGTTTGTGTGTGCAGATAAGGCCGCGAGAGGCCGCGCTAAATTTCTGTTATCTGAGGGGAGGGATGATGACGGAAAAGAAAAAAGCCCGAAGTCTTCACCCTTGTGAAATCAATTAGCAACAATGCACATGGTTGAAATTCTCTGTGGCTAAGACACAACAGATGATGAAATATTTATGAATATAATTCGTCTCAGCTGATGATAACTATGATAATAAACAAAATCCAATCCAGTGTCCAATACCACATGCAACATTTAAGCTTTTTGGGTTAAACTGCATCCAAATTGCTAACTTAAACCTTATTCTTAAAAAAAAAAAAAAAAAACCTGCAATTACAACATCATGGATGTTAACTATCATCACTTGCATAACCAAAGCATGAAAAAAGAATAAATAAATGATGAAAGACAAGACTCTGCTACTGATCAGTTTTCTGGATGTCTTCCTCAAATGCACTGTTGAGCTACAAACTCAGTCTAAAGAGAAAACGTCTCGTGGACAGCGTCCTCTGTTGGAAGACTTGGACGTGTAACCGGCTTAATCTCACACACCCTTCAGTCTCACGGTATCATTAAGCCTGATTTTAACAGCCTGTGGAGAGAAGGAGGTCTTTTTTACCTGAGTAACCAGGACACACCCTCCAAATATGTGAGCTGCTGATAGTGGAGAACAAGATCTCGCTCCCTAGGGGCTCCATCTTACCTAACTCTCCATAGGTTACCTCAGCAACTGCCACTGAACAGTCTGTAAATGTGCAGACGCTCATGTGTGGCCCTTTCACCAGACACTGAGTCTGCAAGTACAAATTCTATGAATCAGTCTCTGTGTCTAGTCTTATTCCCACGCTATGGGTCTTAAAAGTGTGGTCAACTTGCTCCTACAGCGTTTCACTGATAAGCATTTTTAAACCTTCATAAAACTGTAGCTGACACCTATTTATACACTTATGAACAAGTAAAAAAGATATATATATATATGGTGCTTGAGTAACTATGGATACCTTTTCGATCTAAATAAATTGTCAGTGCATACTGTCACTGATTTTTTTTTTTTTTTTTTTTTTTTCCCCAATTTCTTCAAAACACAATTATTTTCCGCAAAATTTCAGTATTGCTTCAGTATAGGCAGCTCACTGAGATGCAGTGTGACCCGAAAAGGGTAAACGCACTTCCACTTCAGCAGAACTTCGGTTTTAAAACCTCAGACAGAAAGCTTTGTGCTTTTGTTCTTGACCACATTTGCATGCGAAAGTGGCTCCAACGCTTTATTCACTCAGTATGGGCGTGTTAGGAAGATCACTGATATTTTCGAAATGTTGTATACTGCCTCAATCAAAGCAGCTGTTCTTCAAGCTTTCAGTGAAATCATTAATCATCGATTGCTTGGGGGGGGGTTATGTTATGTTAATTTCCATTCCTTGACAAGACTATATTAGCATATAAGCAAATATTATAAGGAAAATGAATTACTAGGGAAATGAATTGTGGATTTGGGGGAGGATGGAAAATGTATACATTAATATAGTGATAGTGAAGTGACTTGTGGCCAAGTATGGTAACCCATACTCGGAATTTGTGCTCTGCATTTAACCCATCCAAGTGCGCACACACACAGTAGTGAACACACACCCAGAGCAGTGGGCAGCCATTTTAGCTGCGGCACCCAGTTGGGGGATCGGTGCCTTGCTCAAGGGTCTCACCTCAGTCGTGGTATTGAGGGTGGCAGAGAGCGCTGGTCATTCACTCCCCCCACCTACAATCCCTGCCAGCCTGAGACTCGAACCCACCACCTTCAGGTTACAAGTCTGACTCTCGAACCATTAGGCCACGACTGCCCCCTATATATATATATATATATATATATATATATATATATATATATATATATATATATATATATATATATATATATATATATATATATATATATATATATATA